GCCCCCGGGAAACCCCCCCCCCCCCCCACGCCTGGCGCCTGCCTCCTTCCACACACCCAGCACGGCTGCTCATATCCAGGCACGGAGCAGGCACTGTGCGTTTTACACCATGCAGGGTCTGGCGTCGGGCCCTGTGTACAGCAAATACCTAACGCGGGACAAGGTGGACACTTTTCCACGGCCAAGTGGCCGGATATAGAGTCAGGGTCTGAAAACTGGTGATGAAAATCCCTCTTAAGCAGGTTCCTGTTTCTGGGCTGAGGCGTAATGGGGTGACACACTTATACATGTCATTGCCCGCTTACCTCAGTGCACATGTGTGTACACAGACACCTGAACTGCTATAAAGAGCCTCCAAACACACTCAAGGAAAGCTGCAGGGTCAGAAGCTAGGACTCTTGAGGGGAAGTGAAGGGTTTCTTGGCACTGTCCTACTAACACGGAATGTTAACAAAAAGCACCTACTAGGGTCTTTTAAAACTGTACAGTCTGGGAAAGGGTGGGAATGGATTCTGCCTGGGAGGAGGAGGTGAGAGATGAAAGATGAAGGTGGTGTCATCTGACAGGAGACTGCAGCCCTCCCCCCGCCCCTCCCCCGGCCCCTTGTCAAGCAGCAGAATACCTGGATGCCTAGAGGCCTTGCTCAGACCCCAAATGAGTCTCACCTTTATGCTGCAGGAAGTGCAGACAGCTCTGGAAGGGAAGAGGAAAAGCGTCAGCCCTGAAGAGGCCTGGGAAGAACAGCTGCTTCCGCGTAGGTGTCCCACCAGCAACCTGCTGGTCAGCTGCCCTGGCCGCCTGCTGGGCCCCTGGTCGCTTCAGGACTCATTGGTTCTTCTTTAGAATATCGGGTCTGGAGTGTTCTCATACCCTCCAGACCTGATAGTCTAAAGAACAACCAAGAGGGGCAGAACTATTTTGGGTGTAATACTAAGTAAAAAGAAAAGCAAGATTTGGGAGTCCAATGAGTACTGAAGCGACCAGAGGGACCTCAATGGAGAGGCTCAGTTTTAAGCAGTGATGAACATCTCTTATTCCCCGCACCTGATTTCAAAAATAAACACTTTCTTGTGAAAATCTGAACATCAGAATTGTAATTTAGACAATGGAATCCTCTCCTCTAAAGCCCACTTCTCAGAGATGATCCCTGCTAGCAATACAGTCTTCATTCTCCTGATGTAAGTGTATGTTAACAAAAAGTGCACTTCAATTAAACTACTGTTCTATAAAGATGCATCAGGGGCTCCTCCACATTAGTACAAATTGTCCAAATTCATTTTTTATGCCCAGCCAGTGTGGCTCAGGGTTTGAGCATCGACCTATGAACCAGGAGGTCGCGGTTCGATTCCCAATCAGGGCACATGCCCAGGTTTAGGGCTCGATCCCCAATAGGGGGATGTGCAGGAGGCAGCCAATCAATGATTCTCTCTCATCATTGATGTTTCTATCTCCTCCTTCCTCTCTGAAATCAAAAAATATATAGTAAAAAATTTTAAATTATTATTCCACTCAGGCCCATGAATTACATTTCCACCATGGCGGGTGGGAGCAGACACTATTTCATGGAACTGTTCCTTTAAACCTTTAGGGGAGGGTCAGTAAACTTTTCCTTTAAAGGGTTATGGAAAAAATATATAGTAAAATTTTTTAAATTATTGTTCCATTCTGGCCCATGAATTACATTTCCACCATGGCTGGTGGGAGCAGACACTATTCATGGAACTGTTCCTTTAAACCTTGAGGGGAGGGTCAGTAAACTTTTCCTTTAAAGGGTTATGCAGTAAATGTTTAGGTGTGACTAAGTAATGAATAATGAGCAAACAAATGGGAGTGGCTGTGTCCCAGTAAAACTCTATTTACAAAACAGGCAGTGACTGTGTTTGGCCCATGGGCTAGAGTTTGCCAATCCCTGCTCCAGGATGATTCTTTCAAAGCCTTCAGTCATGCACTAGCCAGTGGATAGAACATCGGCCTGCGGACTGAAGGGTCCCGGGTTCAATTCCGGTCAAGGGCACATGCCCGGTTGTGGCCTCGATCTTCAGTGGGGGGCGTGCAGGAGGCAGCTGATCGATAATTCTCTCTCATCATTGATGTTTCTATCTCTTTCCCTCTCCCCTCTTCTCTGAAATTAATAAATACATATTAAAAAAGCCTTCAGTCATTTCCTTGCAAGTATGTGCTGATCGATACTCTGCTGAATACTCTAAGGGGACCTTCTGCATGTCTGAGCTCGCTCTCCGGACAGCTCTCTCCTCTCTGGACTCCTGGCTGGGGGACTCTGGTGCCCTGGTCTCCCTGGGTTCTCTAGGCTCAAGGAGCAGACCATTTTCTGACTCATGACCTAGCAACTCCCGGCAGTTGAGGCAGTCACAGGGCTAACCCATATTCTTCCTGTTTGCTGCCTGATATCCAGTGTCTTGAAAGCCATTGCTTAATATATTTTGGCTTTTGTTTTTGTTCTTGTTTTCTGTTGTTTCAGGTAGAAGGTGCCTGTTACCCCACCTTGGCTGAAAGTGGGAACCCCTTAGCTATTAGAATTAAATTAAATTAAAATGTTAAATTCGGTTCCTTAGTTGCAATATCCACGGTGCAGGACAGGCCCCCCACCGCCGCAGGAAGTTCCATTGGACAGAGCTGACCTAGCGCCTTCTTACCCCGCCTCCCATGGTGATTCACAGCCGAGCCCCGGTGCTTACAGAAGGCTCACTCACCTCTTGCAAAAGAGACAGGTGGACGGCCAGGAGAACAGCGGGAACTTGGTTCGGCAACAGCAGCAGATCTATAAGAAAAGGCCTTGTTAGAGCCCAATTTAGTCCAAAACTCACTGGGTCCAGTCCTGTCCCCTCCAGGCCCCCACCCAGGGCTCCGGTGGGCAAGGGACAGGGCGGGGTGCGGGCCCTCACCTTGCCCTTCTTCAGGCTGCTGAAGAGCTCCTTGTTCTGCAGGAACTTCTCCATCTCCGCCTTCACCAGCACACGGCGCACGTCCATCACCTCCTCCACAGTCAGAGCCAGGCTCTCCACGGGGTGGCTGAACTCCTGGGGCGGCAGGGTCCGGGGTGGGGCTCACTCAGGCCCTCTCTACAAGTGCCCTTCCCCAAGGACCCAGACGTCTTCCTGGCCTCAGTCTACCCAAGCCCTGCTGACGCCCCCCAGGGGCTGAGCCGGACCCTGAGCCACATCTGGATCCCTGACCCTCAGCAACTGAGAGAGACAATACATGCTTGTTGTTTTACGCTGCTGGGTCTGGGGGTAAGTTTCCATACAGCAAATGGTGACACATACAGAACTCGGGAAGCATTACCTGTCGCGGCGGAATATTAAGAACAACACTACCTTGCCTTCACACAGCACTTACACTTTTAAAAGCATTTTCACATCTGTTCTCCTTTGAGACTCTTTTAAAAAATATTTTTAAAATTTATTTCAGAGAGGAAGGGAGAGAGAGATCGAAACATCAATGATGAAGAGAACCTGCCTTCTGCACGTCCCCTATCAGGGACCTAGCCCGCAACCCGGGCATGTGCCCTGACTGTGAATGGAACCTGGGACCCTTTAGTCCGCAGGCTGATGCTCTATCCACTGAGCCAAACTGGCCAGGGCTCCTCTGAGCCTCTTGATAAAACGCCAAGGAAATGATAGAGACCACACCCCTGACATCTCCACATGCCAGCCCGGGGCCCCTTTGATAAAACCTCACACCGCGGCTCAGGTCCAGTAACTCTTCACAAGACAAGCCACAAAATTTCACCTGATGAGACCGCGGTGCAGGGAGGGCCAGCATCTTAGAGGCCGAGTCGGGACGCCTCACCCCAATAAAACGCTCCCCGTCACCTCACGAAGCCCTCAAGGCACAGGGTTTCTCCTGCTGCCTAACCACAGAGCTGGGACAGGACTCCACGTGCAGGCTGCCCCTTGGCGAGGGCCTTCCGGGGGCCGCAGGGCTCAGAAGGCCCAGGAGGTGGCAGCAGAGACCAACCTGCCAGAAGGCGGCCCAAGCAAAGAGCAGCCACAGACCCCGACCACGCCTACCCTCTACCTGGAGCCTTGTCCGGGTGAAGGGTGCACTCGCCCAGCCGCCCTGGACAGCCAGGCCCCTCACTCACCAGCCACAGGTGACTGGGGTCGGCGGCCGCAGAGGCCTCTGGCCTGTCCTTTGCTGAGCGCAGGTCACTGGGTCGGGGGGAGCTGGGGTCAGCCTGGGACTGGACGCTCACAGGGAAGGGGCCTGGAGGAAGAGTTTGGAAGCCACGTCAGAACAACCCGGCAGAATCCTGGTGTGGGAGGGCTGCCCAGGGGCCGAGGGAGATGCCGGACGGCACCGGACGGGCAGCGGGAGCCGGTGAGTGGTTTCATGGCGGAGGCGGGAGTCCTCAGGCAGAGGGTCAGAGAGAGAGCATGTCACCCCATCACAGCCCATGCAGTGCAGGGGCCCAAGGGACCCTTGAGGGAGTCTGAGCCCATGAATGAGCCAACGTGGAGAGTCCATGATGGAGCCACGGCAGCCACGGTGCTGGCCACACAGGGCCTTCCTGCTCGGGGGCCCGCCCACTGCATTTCATACTGGAGGAAGGAGGCGCAGAAGGCAGACTAGCCCACCATGGGGTATGAGTTTTGAGCAGAGTTTGGGGGGGCAGTGAGGTATCGCCTGGCCTGGCCTGGTCCTCTTCACGCCAGAGAGTGAGTCATAACTACCAAATGGGACCGTCCTGAAAGTGGACCGTCACATGCTACGGTGACCCCGAGGGCAGCGAAGGGGCCTGGCCATGTCTGTCCTGCTGGCATTTCGTGGAGCACAGCCTGTACAAGGGTGGGACTAACCTCATGGCCACAAGGACCGATCTGTCCTCTGTGCTGACCGACGAGGAGGAGGAGGCACCCCCACCCCCGTCTGGTTCACTGAGGACACAGGCCCACCGACAGAAACAGCTAGCAGGACCTATCACTCAGCTCCCCTCTCCATCCATCTGCCCATCCGTCCACCCCTCTGTCCATCCATCATTCATCTTCCGACAGTCATCTGTCCATCCGCCCAGCTTTCTTTCTGTATACCAATAGACTAAGAGTCATTACCTGTAGGTAATGGGTTTGTGGGCATGTTTTTAGTTTTTAAAAAAGGTTTTTCAATGAATATGGGTTAGTAAGTTGTCAAGTTAAAAAAGTGGGGTGCGCCTGCCTGAGCTGGTGCAGACAGTGTGGGCCAAGGGACACGTACCCACAGGACAGGGCGAGGGCGAGGGAAAGGGGGTGACAGGCGGCACTTGCCCTGCTCCTGGGTGCTCGGCCGCCAGGTGTGCATGCTGCCCGCGCGGGCCCGGGACGGCTCCAAGCCTCCTGGGGGCTGGGTGGCCGGCTGCAGGCCAGAGGCCACTTCACTCCGCAGCTGGACAAGGTCGTGCTCTGAGAAAGAGCGGTCCCGCTTCAGGGTCACCTCCCCACACGGGGACTCTTCCTCCTGCGGACACACCAGACCAGCCCGACCCTCACCTTCTGCCCACCAGCACCTCCTGCCCGTCCCTGGACTGAGGCACAGGACACGCGGTCCTGCCGGGTCCACGGAAGCCATAGGGCCGTCCTCCAGCCACTGCCCAGCCTGACTGTCCTCTGGACAGCGGAAGGCAAGTGCCCCCCAAACCAGGCAATTCCCTGCAGCCTCTGGAAGGTCTGGTGTCACCTGGCCTTCCTGGCCCTGAGGCAGGGAGGACGGACAGGAGCCACGCTGGGACACGCTGGCTTTTCACATCAACCAGGGGCTGCTCAGCCTCCGGCCCCAGGATGGCAGCCCTCTTGTGCTATGGGAACGGGGTGGGGGTGCAAGGCCACTGTCCCTGTCACCCGGAGTCCACCACGCTCGCGCCCAGGGAAGGACACCTGCGTCGGCAGAGGGCACTGCCCGAGGCTCTGAGCAGCGGGCGCCCCACACTGGACGCTGCGCCTGGACTTGCTCAGCCCCTCACTTCCTGCCCCTCCTGCCCCTCCCTGGTCTCTCTCAGGAGCCTGTGGAGTCTGACCTCAGACGTGTTCATCTCCTCCATCTCCGCCAAGGTGGGCGCCTTGAGCAGGACCCGGGGCCGTGGGCGTTGGGCGCAGCTCCCGGCATCCGCCACGGACAGGTTGATGCAGGAAGTGGACTTGACGTCCCCGGAGCAGGCGTTGAGGATACAGGGCAGAGAGCCAAAGCCTGGGGGAGCCAAACCCGGGTGGCGGGGCCAGGACAGGATGTCAGGGGGGAAGAGTGCAGGGAGCGGGGAGGAGCGGCAAGGAAGGGGGGTCCCTGGCTCACCCCGGCCACCCCAGCGCTGGGCCCCCACGGGGCGCAGCCTCCGCTCCTGCTTGATCTCCTCCAGGATCTTCTCGTGCAGGGTCCGCTGCTTCTGGGGCAGGGGGCGGAGCCTTCGCTCTGAGACCTGCAGGGGCGTGGCCGCACAGGGGGCAGTTAGGGAGGCCCACCAGGAGCCCTGCACAGCGGGGAGCAGACAGTGTCCACTGAGCTCCTGGGGACGCGTCCATCGAGACCAACCCTTGGCACCCCCTCCGCACACATGCCACGCTGCCCCCCCTCCGCACACATGCCACGCTGCCCCCCCTCCGCACACATGCCACGCTGCCCCCCCTCCGCACACATGCCACGCTGCCCCCCCTCCGCACACATGCCACGCTGCCCCCCCTCCGCACACATGCCACGCTGCCCCCCCTCCGCACACATGCCACGCTGCCCCCCCTCCGCACACATGCCACGCTGCCCCCCCTCCGCACACATGCCACGCTGCCCCCCCTCCGCACACATGCCACGCTGCCCCCCCTCCGCACACATGCCACGCTGCCCCCCCTCCGCACACATGCCACGCTGCCCCCCCTCCGCACACATGCCACGCTGCCCCCCCTCCGCACACATGCCACGCTGCCCCCCCTCCGCACACATGCCACGCTGCCCCCCCTCCGCACACATGCCACGCTGCCCCCCCTCCGCACACATGCCACGCTGCCCCCCCTCCGCACACATGCCACGCTGCCCCCCCTCCGCACACATGCCACGCTGCCCCCCCTCCGCACACATGCCACGCTGCCCCCCCTCCGCACACATGCCACGCTGCCCCCCCTCCGCACACATGCCACGCTGCCCCCCCTCCGCACACATGCCACGCTGCCCCCCCTCCGCACACATGCCACGCTGCCCCCCCTCCGCACACATGCCACGCTGCCCCCCCTCCGCACACATGCCACGCTGCCCCCCCTCCGCACACATGCCACGCTGCCCCCCCTCCGCACACATGCCACGCTGCCCCCCCTCCGCACACATGCCACGCTGCCCCCCCTCCGCACACATGCCACGCTGCCCCCCCTCCGCACACATGCCACGCTGTCCCCCCCTCCGCACACATGCCACGCTGCCCCCCCTCCGCACACATGCCACGCTGTCCCCCGGTCCCGGGAGGGGCCCAGAGGTGAGGGCACCGAGCCGGCACCTGCTTCAGGGGAGGCCGGGAGCGGATGAAGTCGAGGATGAGCTCGTGGGCGTCCTTCTTCACCCGGGGAGGGATGTCCCCATCGACCTGCGGGGGCGGGAGGCGCTCAGGGCCTGGTCCTCATGTCCTCCTCCCTGTGGCCGTCCGTGTGGCCCAGCGTCCTGCTCACGGTGCCCACACTGGCACCGCCCCACACTTCCCTGCGTCTGGGGTTCTTCGTGGGAAAACGGGGTCCCTGGCACCACCTCCCAGGGTCGTCACGAGAACGAGATGAACCCGCACATTTAAAATTCTTAGGGTGACAGCGGCAGCGGCCACAGGGGATTCCCCTGGACCATCCCGCGGCCTCCGCGCCTGCCCCCGGTCACACTAGGAATCGG